TGTGATAAATAGTACTCCAAACAGTGACAAAATGGTAAATGTCCTCTAGTTATACATGCTCCGACATGCATCTGCCTCGCATGCTGGTAAATTTAGGGATTTATTTTGAAAAACAATAAATTATTATATATAATATAATTATATAAATATCCATAACTCCAAAGAAATAATATTTAACATATGCAATTAAGAGGAGTTAATTTTGTTATTTATTTCATCGTAATACTTAATAGCGGAGAGTTTATAAATAGAGCTAATGTACAATCTTGAAAATAATATTATAGTATAAGAAAATATTTCTCTATATTTATCTCTTGTCTATATTTTCTTGTAATTATTGCTTTTCAATTTATTTATTTTATCTTTGTTTATTTTGTAGTTACGTACATTTTATTTTACAACACTTTATCTGTACAATTTCGCTTGCAAGATTATTCCGCTCATATATTATCCTCTAGCGTAATGGAGTTTTGGGTATAAAGAGTATAATGAAGAGAAAGTTTTTCATAATACAAGATTAGATTTTTCAACGGCTATGGAAAAAAGATTAGTAAACCAATTCCTCAAGTCATGTATGTGAAATCATGAATTATAAAACTTTGCTTTGTGTTGGTCGGTGTTTAGTTCTTGCTTGTTAGTAGAACATTTATTTTTTCTTGTGATAGACTATTCTTAACCGTCCTGAAAGGAAAAATTAACGTGTCACATTTAAGTTTGATGTTAAATTAACTGAACATCCGGATCATTATAGTATGTTCTCTTACATCATGCTTGGTTTATATTAGTGTTGATATCTTTTCCGTTTTAGTAATTTATTAAGAAATTCTTTTCTTAATTTATTTTGTTAATTCATTGTAACCGAAAAAAGTTTCAGGAAAAATTTACTTAGTCGAATAAAAAATACAAGAGGTAATCTCAATCACCAAGGTATTATCCCAACAAATGACCTTATAAATATGCTCATTTCCTTTTTCTACTTTTATGAACTTAATATTAACCATGCACAGCGAAATCAGAAAAAATGAAAAAAGAAATAAAGAGTTTCGCGGGTGAGGAGAGGGGAGGACTCAATCCCTCCTCCGCGAATTCAAGAAAACATCATTGATAAATATCGAAAATCAAATATCATATAAAAAAATAAAAGGATAAAAAATCTCTGTTTGGTCAAAAAGTCCACATAACTTGCGACATTTTTTTTCTTACTAATTTCAAATATGGAAAAATAAAAATAAAAAAGGCAACAAAATTGAATGCACAAGCTTCCACTAGGAAAAAAAATGCACACCCACAACAAAACAAAACAATTAATCAACCATGTTGATAATGGAATCATAACTGAGAAAGGTAACAAATTTAAATCTAATTAAATTGAAAATTATCCAGATATAGTTCCCAGAAGCAAATAATGACAAGAAAAAAGGTAATTATTTTTCAATCCATTTCCACAATATCTCTTTCCGTCTTTGGTTTGAATGTTTGAAAGGAGACATCGATTGGAGAGAGCTGTGTTGTGACGTGACTTGATGTAACAACATTGAAAACTATCACTTGTGGAGGTGTTTATTTGTTAAAATTTTACATGATCTACTAATATGAAATTTTCGTGTTTATTTTTCTTTTTATATTCATTAAATAAATGAGGTTCAATCACTAATAAAAAAAAAATTTTAAAATGAGAGTAGTCCTTCTCAGGGAGTGGATCCTTTCATGTGAGAAAGTGGTCATGTGGTCATGTTATTTGATCACAACCACTCATTGATGATGAGATAAGAGAGAGAAAAATATATAATTTTTAAATAAATGATTGTGATCAAATAACATGACCACATGACCATTTTTTGACATGAAAAGACCCCCTCTCGTCATTCTCATCAATCAAATAGCGCAGTCAATATTTTTTTCTAGGGGTAGGCATGATACTATCATTATCAAAATCAAAGTATATTGGTATTTGCGGAAGATTATATTTATAAATTTTTTAGTTAAAAACTTTTACAAACTAGATTAAGTATGATCTGTCATACTTCAATAAAAAATGTATGATAATCATATTTAATAATTTAAAAAAAAAATTATAAACGGATCTTACGTGGATCTTGATGTCAAACTATACAGAAGACGGACTTTCATATTAGGTGAACTGATACTATTTTATTTATTTCAGCCATTAATGCAACATGATGCAACCACAAGAAAGTCAAAACCCAAAAGATTAAGCAAAAAATAATAATAATAATAAATAAAAAAATCTAAGTGAGCGGTGACGATAAATATGAAAAAAAAAAGAGACAAAGAAGGGGAACAATGCATCAAGGGATGTTGGTACAATGGCATATTATAAGGCACATTTAATATACACAAAATTCAACAACAAAAAAGCAGCACCACAGCAGGTGTAAAGCAATCATTTTATTAATTACCAAAAAAATAAATAATCATTTTATTTCACAGTGTTGCAGATATATCAAGACAGAATATAAACAATAATCACCATTTGAGTCGAGAGCGTAGTAAGATTAAATCCTAACAACAAATTATCTGTCAAATTGTCTCCTCAATAATTGCTAGACATCAACTTTTACACAACCTCATCCTTTTTTATCTAATTATCCGTGCTTACAGTCCACAAAGTCCCTATGTATCTAATTGGCTCCAACAAAATCATCATATCTTCTCTAAATCACCAATGTATCCAATCCACAAGTCCCTAGCATCCAATTGCCTAAACCTTGCACAATGTCATAAATGAAGGTTGTTCTATAACGTTGATAGCCTGTTTATTTGGCCTTTTTTAAAAAAGTAACTTTTATGCTTTACTTATTTTAAAAAGCACTGTATACAAAAGTTGAAACTATTTAGATTTTAAAAAAAATATTTAATTTTTCAAAAAATAATTCACTTTTGACTTCTGTTTTTTTTAGAAATTAAATATTTTAACTATAAAAAAAAATAAGTTTTTGATTTTTTCATAATTTTTATTTTTTAAAAAACAGATATCTAAACGAACTTAGAGCGAAAAGTGTTTTTTTTTCTTAAAAAAAAGAGCTTTTGGGAAGAATACTTTTGTTTCACCAGGTTTTTGCATCATACTTGTTGAGTCTTTGAAATAAGACTCTAGGGTAGTGTTTGGTAAAAGATTTATTTTGAAATTGATGGAAAAATATAAGTGGATATTGAAAAATACCACGTTTAGTTTAGGTTTTTGAAAAAAATACTAGGCAAGTAAGATAGATAGGAAAATGACTTTTGTGTTGATTTTTGAATGAAATTCACTGTTACAGAATACCATTTGAGATGTGGTATTTTGAGATAACTGAGGAAGTGAAAAAACAGGTGCGAAGTTTCTCCCGAACATAGATTTTGCAAATTTAAATAAATTTATCTGGTAATATTTCGGTTAACCAAACAACCTTTTACATTTTTCTACCAAATTCACTTTTCAACTATTTTTCTAATAATTACATTCTCTAGTATTCAAAAAATTTCTTATTAATCAAACGACCGTTAGTTGTAAATTAGGCCACATGTATTAAATCTTCAAGTCCATTAGGAACTTTTCTTGCCCGAAAGGTGTAAAGTAAAGGCCCAAACTATTGAATCCAAAAACGTCTAAGCTTCAAAGAAAATGAAGGTCTAGACTCTAGTCTAGAGGGTAGAATAGAAGGTCACGAGAGGAAACAGATTATTGGCCAAAGCTAAAAATTGGAAAAGTGCACTGGGGAACCCTAATTGGTATTTCTCTGCAGCCGTAACACTCTTCTACAACAAACACTATCCTTTCTCTCTGACCTTTTCTCACACAATCACTTACTGTACCACACTTCCACACCTTGGTTGCTTTCGCTAAAAGCCCACATCAACCCTTTACCTTAGCCTAATCCCATTCCCCTCTCCTTATCTATTTCTGCGATATTATCCATGTTATAAAAAAATCAGAAAGAAATCCAACCCTTTATTTTTACATTTTTTTTACGAACTCTGTTTTATTATTTTGGGAGGCTGTTAATGTTTCTTGTTGCGTTTATTTTTCTGTTCTTGTATTAGCGAGATGTTGCTGCTGCAGTAGGCTATATTTTGCTTTTCTGTACTGGTTTTGGTGCTCATCCAGAAATGGATTTGAGCTAAACTTTTTAAGGTTGGGTTGTAATAGTACCCGAACCTGAAGTGGGCATTGAGATGAATATTGACCAGTTTTAAATTTCATTTTTTTCCAGATTGTCTAATGTTGATTTTTAATTACCAAGTTGCTGTATCTTGGCCATATGCAAGTGGCTTTAGAGGAGATATTTGTTGACAAACAGATTCTCCAGACTTAGCATTAGGCATTTGGACTTGAGTAAGTAAGACATCACTCATGAATTCTATCTTCAGACATGAAGGTAACTTTCCAAGCAACTAATTACTCGCAGCACCTAACGGAACTTTCTCAAGCTTCTATAGACATATGGCAAGTGTATGATTTAGAAGAAGACATATCTTGAGACATCAACCTGTTTTCATGTACTGTTTTTAACAAACATTTTCTACTGCTTAGTGTTTTCAATTTTGTATTGTAGAAGTGAAAAGAAAATCGTCTTGAAAAATTCCCTTTAGTTAATTTTATGTTAGTTCATTTCTCTGCAATTGAATCTTTATCTTAAACAGAATTTTCTCAGAAAAAATTTCCTCACACTTTTAGATTAGCCGTTTTTAATTTAATTTATTGTATAGCAATTACAGGTTTTAAATACACCCTATATTTTGCGCAATTATTGCGTAGCCCTTTTCAAGGCAGCAATACTCATAATTCTAGCATCAACTACAGTTATTGTGTAATGGTTTAGGTGCTTCTATGTTGTGAAATTAGCTATGCTGCCTTGAATTGGAAGTAGGATTAAGCAATGTTCATGTTGATTTATGTAGTGTCTCTCAAGCATCATAATAACTAAAACACAGAGCCATTAAGGCCTACACTGTTTATACCTGCATTAACCAAATTGTACTATCCACTCACTCAATTTTCACCTGGGTTGTAATGATGTTATGGTAACTTCATTGTTTGAGCAAGATTTCATTGGATTTGAAGTACAATTTCCTTTAAATGAAGCCTTGCCAGTGAAGAAGCCAGGCTCTTTAGGCTTAGGAAGTTCTATCTCACTTCCCAGCATAAGCACCACATATGACATGGTTGGTCTATCCTCTGGATGTTGTTGGGCACACAAAAGACTAATATGGATGCAACGCAATACCTCTGATTCAATCCATGAGTCTTCCAAGTTTTTGTCAATCATTTCTAGAGCCTTGCCTTCCATCCACAACAACCAGGCCTGAAATTTAAAATAAAAAAATGCATATTTCAAATGTATTTTTAGTCTAACATAAATCATTATATCACAAACTTACCTGACCAATAAGGTTATGGATTCGGTTTGCATCACAAAAATCTCTATTTCTTTTTCCATACACAATCTCCAGCACCAAAATACCAAAACTGAAGACATCAGATTTCACTGAAAATCGTCCATAAGCAGCATATTCAGGTGCCATGTAGCCACTGCAAGATATCATTCAGAACAACATAATTAAAGAAAATGAAATAAAGAATGTTTGTAAAATTGCAGCTTCTAAATAAGAAACCTACTAGGTCCCCACAATTCTATTTGTATTTCCTTCATTTTGCTCAGTAGCAGAAGATTTAGCCATGCCAAAATCTGATATTTTTGGGTTCAGCTTATCATCAAGTAAAACGTTACTTGCTTTGAGATCTCTATGAATAATCATTAGTCTAGAATCTTGATGAAGATACATAAGGCCCCGAGCAATTCCACAAATAATGTGATAGCGCTTAGACCAATCCAGAAACTTCCCTTTGTTATGATCTGGTGACAGTCGCCATAAAAGATAAATTAGTTACTGCATTTTAATTCTTCAAATTCGAAGTTCAAGATCCATATGCTTGTTAATAGCACTAAAAGTATAAGATCAGTCCATCACAATAATATAAGCTTTCTCGGATGCATACCAAAAATGAAGGTGTCCAAGCTGCTGTTTGGCATGTATTCATAAATCAGCATTTTTTCTTCTCCTTGAATGCAACACCCCAGAAGTTTTACAAGATTTCGGTGCTGAAGTTTTGCAATCAATTTTACTTCATTCTTGAACTCGATTATTCCTTGTGTTGAGCTTCTTGAAAGTCTCTTCACAGCAATTTCTTTCCCATTTCCTAATCTTCCCTATATTGAGATATTTCCTAACATCAGCAATTTAATTGTCTTCACCCAATTATTGAAATAGAGTTACCTTGTAGACAGGTCCAAATCCACCTTCTCCAATTTTGTTATTCATTGAGAAGTTATTGGTGGCACTGGCTATTGCTGACAGGTCAAGCAACGGGAGATCTAGATCATCCTCAGGCAAAATATATAAAGTACCTAATTATGGATGTTGAACAATTAAAACTGTTCAGTTGACTGGATTTTTTTATTTAATACCATTTTAAAAATCATCTGATAGGAATGACTTAATTTAATCATCTTAACTGTACATTAAATGACATATAAATGGGCTTTTTCACCTTTTTACCCTTTATTAATTAATTAATAACCATTTTGTCCCTGATTCGAAACTATTTATCAATCTGTCCCTCTTTAGTCGACTATCTTGCATTTTTAATCGACTAAATGACCAAAACAGACAAAAAATGGCTGCTGGGAGATTTAGTCGACTAAATCTCCCTATTTAGTCGACTAAATCTTCATATTTTACAAAAAAAAAAAATAAGTCAGTATGATTTTAATCGATTAAGTAGAGAGATTTAGTCGATTAAATCTCCCAACAACCGTTTAGTCGATTAAAAATGCAAGGTAGTCGATTAAAGAGGTGCAGATTGGTAGATAGTTTCGAATCAGGGGCAAAATGGTTATTAATTAATTAATAAGGGGCAAAAGGGTGAAAAAGCCCATATAAATGTGTTTATTAGCCAAAAAGAAAATTTATTGCCTATTATACACAAAAACAATCCTATGTCCAACAGAGAGTTGATAGATTTAAGTTACGGTAATATAGAATAGATGCATAATATATGTGTTGTATAGGGTCCTCCTAATTTAATAACTCCAACGAAGAATGCAAAATGCACCAATTCTAGTCATTAACATTATCAGGAAGTATGTAAATCATGGCTTATCAACTATCAAGGCAATAATAATAGTTGTATAAACTTTTTAATGTGATGGTACCTTATAGTTATGATGGAATTCTCTTGTAAAGTTACTTTTAAGTAGTTCTTAGTTTGATTTCAATTTTTACATGTAGATTGGTAGATGGACTTCACTCCATAGTAATAAGTTGTACATAGATGAACATGGGAGTAAGTCATCCTACCAGTTCCGTTTCTGCGGAATTTATAGATACTACAGCAACAAACTAAAATCATCCCTGAAATTGCAGCAATGGTGCTACCAACTATTATGGTAAACTTCTTCCGGTGCCCGTGTTCCGCCTCTGCATGGTTGAATTTGATCAAACAACAGATCAGGTTTAATTCACAGATTGAAGTAGATTGATGGCAAGAATCACTGAAGAACTAAGTGACAAAGTTTTAAGTCCTTACCTAATTCTGAAGCGTCCATTCTAATATATAAGTCCTGCCCCCCAACTGCAAACTGTCTTACATCAATTAGATTGCCAAACCACATGGCACAGCCACTCCCTTGTCCTCTAATATCTGAATTAGTATAGGCCATACAAGAACAGTTATCCATGCACTTGGCTCTGCATTCCTCTAAATCTATTGTCTCATCCAACCAAGAATGCATAGTATCTGGCACTTTCAACCCCTTCAATTTGACAAACCCATCTTTGTGCTTATCATTGCATCTTAATGGTTTGTTGCGAACACATCCTTGAGACCATTCCATTGTGTTCCATGCTAGTAACGATTCAGGTCTGAACCCTTTAAGACATTGGCAAATTGGTGATTCATTGATGACACAGTTGCCATTGGCTCCACACAGGCCGTAATGGTCGCAGTAGTCTAATGGCTTTGTTTTATAAACCATCCAATTTTGATCACTCTCCACCCACACATAGCGGTAAAGGGCGTAATCAGTTTGGTTGATTACAAGTCTTGAATATACAGAACTATTCATGAGGTAGTACGTGTTATATAGCTCATCCTTATTGTAAAAATACTTGAAATAATAAATTGGGTTGGGCTTTACATCTAGAGTACCACTTGCATGCAAGCCATTCCATGGTCCAAGTCTGCTGTACTTTTTGGTTCCCTTCATCAAATATGTATCAGGATAATTGTTGTTGTGATTGACACAAGAAAAGTCTCCTGGAGCTGGATCATCTGGACTATTCCATGCTGTTACAGTCCAATTGAAACCTGTTCTTAAGTCCCATCCAAATTTCATCCCTGGCAACAATGTATCACATGGATAGTCAAAGCTTTGCCACAAGTAGGCTTCTGGGTTTGCATCATTCTCATCTCTTACCACAAGATTCCCAGAATCCAAGAGCTCAGCCATTGGATTCTGTGGTATTCTCGGAGAAGTTGTGTTCCAAACAACAGTGTCATTCTGGTGAAGGACAAGATGGCCAGTCCTATTCACTGTTAAGGTACCAGAGGAGTCATTGATTGGGTTGACCCTGTTAGCAACCCAAACAACTGTCTTAACTGAGATGTTTTTGTACCAAATTCCCAGGTAATGTTTCTTGGATTTCCCAGGGCTGAAGAAACCAAGTTCAAAGGTTCCACCTTGTGAAACTATGGTCATGCCATCAGTGAGGGAATGTGACAGTGCAATGGAATCAACTGAAAGGGAAATTGTGAGTGAAGAAACAAGGATATGAACAAGGACACTAATGAAAGAAAGAATGTCCATTGGAAAAATTGAGTGTAACGCTGTTGATTAACTAATGTCTACTAGTGGTGGCTTGGAATGGTGCTAGTAGAATAGAATAAGCATTTGAAGCTAACCAATCTGCAATATAATTAGCTATTAAAATAGGCATCTAAAGCACATTTGGCAATGAAAAACTGAGAATAGAGAAATGTTGAAAGCACAATTAAAAATTATAAAAGAACCAATTCAACACAAAAGCTTAACTTGTTGGGTAAAACTACATTAATGATTTTATATATCTTTAACATGCTTCCTCACACAAGAGCTCATAGGACTTGAAAGGTGGATAATGCACAGGCTCATCTACTTGTTTTAAGAAACTGCACAAAACTTGATTAATTATTAATTAAATAGGGACGGAGAGGATCGAACCCGTAAAACCGAGGCTCTGATGCCATGTAAAGAACCAATTCAACCCAAAATTTAAGCTATTGGGTGAGATTACATTAATTATTTTATCCAATGTTTTAAAACTCAGCCAGGTTATCGACTCAGTCGAGGTACTGGGTCAATCAATCGGTTACTGGTTCAACCGATTTAATTAAATTTATATTAAATTAAATAATAGTTATAAGATGCATTTTGACCAATAATTGAGGGTAGCCTAATGTTAAGTGGTAACACTACTCACTCTCTTGAGCTGGGTTCGATTGCCGGCCACTGTAGTTTTTTTTTAAAAATACAATAGCTATCTCAAACCAGGGAAGGCACCATGTCACTGTTATATATCTCTAACAAAGACTATGAATTTGTTAGTCTTGCTCAATTAGTATCCATGTAGAACAAGGGAAATATGGTGAAGTCATTCATATAAATATACAAGCCAAGAATATTAGGAGGGCAAGGGAGTCCAAGTTAGACCAACCACAACAAGTTGATCCTACATCATGTCTCAAGCCAAAACCGTAAAGCAACATGTTTATTACTCTTCCCACTCATATCATCTTCACTTGGTCCATTAGCCCCGACTTTGATACAAACCTAATTTTGATATCACTGTGAGGCGGGGCAAAAGGAGCCAATGGCAAAGAATCACCCTCAATTGTTGAGTGGGTTCCGATATCATATCTCAACTAAAAATCTCAAAATTATAGATATATGGGTCTTTCACATTTATACAGTTCTCAGTTGGTTCATTTCTAATCGATGTGAGAATTCACTACTATTCACACTTCAATATTTCCAACAACCAACTCATTATTGGCTTGAAAATTTGAGGTTCATTAAGTCAATCCCACTAGCCACGGCAAAGACCTTTTCAACATGTTCTTGTTTGCTTAAGCCCTAACGATTGGTGCATACCAGCTGAGGTTCATTAAGTCAATCCCCCTAGCCACGGCAAAGACCTTTTCAACATGTTATTGTTTGCTTAAGCCCTAACGATTGGTCCATACCATCTTTACTGTACACCAGAAATTGACAAAAGTTATCATAACGGAAAACCCAAAAAAAAAAAACAAGATTTGCTGAGGTAATATTTTTCTACTAATAACACATTGAACTGTGGTCATGGAGACATCATTGATTAGCTCAATGATTTTTCTCACAAACTTGCCTTCTTTCTGAAAAGTACCTGCCCTTATTTGTTCTCCTACCCATATTTCCCTGCATGCAGACAAGTCTTATTCGGTACTAGATATAAATATATAATTTACGGGGGAAGGATATATTTATAAATTTTTTTATAAATTAAATTATATATGACCGGTCATACACTCTTGATTGAAGTAGAACCGGTCATACTTAGTGTAGTTTGTAAATAAAAAGTTTGTAAATATAACTTTTCCCATATTTTATTGGATTTTTTATGTTGATACTCAGTGGCGGAGCCACATACCTACTAGGTGTGGCTTCGGCCTGGGCTAAATTTTAATAAATTATACTTATTATATATAATTATATAATTAATTATAATTTAGTCCGGGTTAAAATTATAATTTGGCTCGGGCTACAATTTATAAATATTTATAATTTATAATTATATATTGTTGGATAAGTTGTATTAGGTTATGTGTTCAATTTCTACTTGTATAAAAAAAATTTAGTAAAATTAATTTTTTTTAATAAAATTATAATTCTTTTTGGTACTGTGTGCTTTGTATTTAATATAATTTAAATGGGGAGGGTTATATTTACAAATTTTTTGTTTACAAACTCTTATCAACTACACTATGTACTCACAGAAAAGTTACACTATGTTTTCCGGAAGTATATAGTATAAATTGCAAAAAAATTTAAAAATTATTTGTAAAGAGATCCTTTCCCCATTTAAATATATTATGATATGACCTAATTAAAATTAAAAAAAATAAATACACCTATAATTTTTTGGCCAGCTCTGCCACTGTTGATACTCTATACAATTTTGTTTCAAAGCCTTCAGTTGGGTCAGGGTGTAGCTAATATAATATTTATGAAACTAATAAACAAAACCTTTGTTGGATTGACATGTATGTTAAAACAGTTGTATATTGAAACTTTGCTAGTTTGATGGCATTTGAAATACAATACATAAATTTGCACATAAGGGGGTGTTTGAAATACAAGCAATGGGTTAAATTAGGGCCTAACACAGGCATTGTAATCGTTTCCTATAATATTGCTTGCATTTATCTCTGACTCGATGAACAAATAGCTATTTTAGGTTTACAGGCATGTCTATAACATCAGAATGAATACTTTTGCTTTGTTTCATTGCTATTGATTCGAGAAAAAGACTATAGAATGCAATTTTCTATAAAATAATTTAGGAACACTAAAATGAACCGTCTGTGGGCCTATACGATAACTTTATTAGCCCATTACCGTACCCTCAAAATGAAGCTTGGATCTGTCTTTATTTTTCATTTCATATTTTTTTTGCATCTATTGTTTTCATACATCTCATAATTATTTCTCGGGCAAATAGACAATTTGATCCCTAAAGCTTATATTGCATTCGTAATATAATACCTAAATTAATTTATTGTGTACTAGTTAATTTTTAAATTTATAAAACTTATATCAAGTTATTTAAAGGAAAAAAAGAGACTAGAGAGATATAAGTGATAAATTTAAGAATTAACTCATATATACATAATGTAAAAGACTAAACTGTATATGAAAATAATTTTAAGAATTAAGTTGTTAAAACTTATTGGGCCAATGTATGCTCAAAGCCCTTTTGGTAGAAATATTATAATTGCTTGTCATAGTGATATGTTATTTATCTCAATTATATTCCAACATTAGAAAAATTCATAAAACAAAGGGTCCGTCAAATATAATGTTACATAATGTAAGTTGTGTCATATTATTCTTTTTTTTTCCCTTCATAAGAAGCTGTCGACTGACATAGAAAAAAAAAACTTTAATATTATAACTATACAGCGAGCAAGGCAACGAGCCATTTGGGCAGTTGAAGCAGTAGCTCAACCTCAGCTCCCTTGCCTCTCGCTTTCTCGCTCACTCCAGCGAGACCAAGAGCGAGCAATGTTCTGTCTCACTCAGCCACCTTGCTCACAAGCTCGCTCCAGCGAGCAGGTGAGCGAGGGTTCCCTTATATCAAGGTTGGCCACTATAACACCTCGTATAGTTAATTATATTAAATGTTTAATTGGAGGTTAGAGGGGTTAAGTAGGAAAAAAAAACCCTGAGATTTGGGTCAAAAAATACCCATCAGGGGCAAAATGAGAATTTTCCAACTGTGTAATTCTAGACAGTAAAATGATAAACCAGATCTTAATTAGACAAAAATAATATCGAACATGGGTTCATAACGAAATTCGAGTTCATAGGCATGTTTTGAGAAATTTGATGAATAGTGATTTTTACCGGTAAAATACTGCTGTGTAATTTTACCGGCAAGAGTGAAATTGGAAATACTGACCTAGGAAATAAATATATGTAGGGTTAGGGTAAGATTGATGGATTGTGAATTTGGTGAATTAAATGAGTAGGTTTAAGTGAGTAAAGTGACACGTGGGATCCAGTTTAAGTGGTTTGATGAGGCAAAGGAAGTTAAATTTTCAATCTGTAACGCCCCGTGTGTACTCGGTGTATTAACATTCAAATGGTATTAAACGCAACTCGAAATAAATGCGGAAGCTAGTTAATTCAATTATGAACTCATATTAGTTTAGCCAAGTGGAATTACTTTTTCCTTTTTAAAACAACCTATATGTAATTGTAATACAAGAAATAGTCTAAATAACCTTATAATTAATAAAATTAAGTCATGGGTCTACTTCAAGTAGCCAGGACAATATCATAATACATCATTTATACAGACACCAGTCAACAAAGCAAAACCAAATTATTTAAAGTGGCATGGACAACCCCAATGCTCGCATCTAATAATGATGATAGGTACTGCAATAGTCATAAACATCATGTCTATAATACATCAACCGTATCCAACATAATAGAAAATAAGCATGCACATAATATAAGCTCTACTCTGGCCTCTTGTGTAACACCCCGTTCTAGAACCGGTTTGTTAACATTGCATTATGATATTAAGCGCAGTTACAATCACATGGGTTCAATTAAAATCCGGATAATTTTTTCATTTTAAAACGTACCGAACTTATAATACCCAATTTCGTGATCATAACCAAATTACCTTGCGGAAACAGATAAATTAAGCTTAACATCATGTTCATTTTCCATTTTTAAACCTTTAATTTACTTCTTGTTTAGTTCAATACTTCTACTATATTGTAGGTTTCTTCATTAGCTACCTGTGGCTTCAAACCGTGCTCAAATCGGGGCACTGTAGCCCAAGTTAGGACAATTTGGAGCAACACAAGAGAGTGTTGGTCACAGGCCCAGCGCGCTACCGGGCGCTCAAGCGCGCGCTATCGGGTGCTAAAGCCTCCATCTGGGCGCTTAAGCGCACGGAGGCAGTAAGCATCAGGCATTCCAGTGTGGATGGGCGCTTAAGCGCGCAACAGGGCGCTCAGGCGCGCTATCCTGGGCGCTCAAGCCCCCACTGGGAC